TCAGCTCCAAGTTTATTGAAAAAATTCTAAATATGGGGTAATCTGATGCAGGAAAATTTAATTTTGCTACGATGCCACACTGCTCTCTTCAAATTCATCTGTAAGAGAATAATTTTTCCATTTCACAACACCTGGATTGATCCCACCACACATACATTTGGCTTGAAACAACTTTCTATGTTTCGGTGAAAGAGCAGGCATACCATAAAAGCATATGCAAATATGATTTTCTACAATATCCTCCAAATAAAAAGTTGCATATAATATATCTACACTTCATTTAGAATATTTACAAATCATGGCATCATAATACTATAATAGTCATATACAATGATGCCATTGGTAATGCTATGCAGTGGATATAATATACTCTGAGATATGAGTAACTCTTTAGTAAATATCTACAACAGCAAGTGAACTAAGTAACAGAGCAGCAAAAACAATTTTATATTACTTTCCAATGGCTTAAAATGTCTACTGGTGCAGTGTGCTTTGCAGAATTATTTCCTTAAGATTCTCCTATAAAACCCAAGTATTTCTGTTTCCTTCTTTAAAATATTTCTTGTTTGATATATGAAACTGAATCAGTACAAACTACCCTTTACACATTTTTAGAATTGTATCTAGTTTTTACTACTTTTTCTTTCCCAATATCCTGAAAGCTCTCTATCCAATTTACAATATGGACCTTTTTGCACCCTTTCCGTAGCACAGTGACTGTCCTTTTCAAAATAAGTTTCTCAACCTTATTCAAGATCTTTGTCTCTGTCAGTATATAGGGTATGATGCCATTTTTTATAGAATTACTCATGAGCTTTATCATGCATGTGTGTAAAAATAGCATGTATGTATAAATAGTAAAAGAGTATACAGTGCAGATCAGAGAGTGTGTGTGTGTGTGTGTGTGTGTGTGTGTGTATGTGCGTGTGCGTGTGCGTGTGCGTGTGCGTGTGCGTGTGCGTGTGCGTGTGCGTGTGGGTGTGGGTGTGGGTGTGGGTGTGGGTGTGGGTGTGGGTGTGGGTGTGGGTGTGGGTGGGGAGGGGGGAGGGGGTGGGGGGGCATGTGTGCGTGTGTACGTGATATTAAGGCATAATCTACCAAGAAATGTGTATGGTGTAATAAAGAACTTTCAGTGGTATACATCATACCCACTTATACAGCTGTCAGCACCATAATCACAAGATATGTACAAAAATATAGTGTTTCATTAATATCACTCCACTGGGGTTAATGAGGTCTTCATAAATCTGTTTGGATTTAATGATCAATTATACCCAAAAATAACATCTAAACAATTTACTCTCATGTAGAAACAAGACCATTTTGCAAGGAAATGTGTCAAAAGAATATATTGCCTTTTTACAACCATTTTCTCTTCAAATTAACACTGTTATAATAATTTATATATAATAATCACAATGCTAATTCACTTTTCTTCTTTTGTAATATAATTTTCTCATTCTTTCAACTTGGCATTTCCTTTGCATTTGTAATCAACTGAAAAAATATGTAGATATATACTATTCATACAATAAAAACCTTTCAAAAAATATTGTACAATTAAAATCTTCACCTTTACAAGTTGTGAATCACACATACTTTGTGAACAGATACAACAAGACATCTGCCTAAAGTGTATGTATATTATGAAACCATGAAATGCTATATTTTGGAAAAATAAATAAATAAAAAAATAAAATAATAATTATAAACAAAATAATTATTATTCTAATATAATCAAATGTTAAGTATAATCAACACATAACTGACTACCAATGCCACAATATGCAAATAATTAGAAGATAATATGTAATATTGTCTCCGTTGTTTCTACTCCTTTATCATCATTGTCATAATCTTGTACATGTCAACTTAAACAGTCATTGATATGAAGGCAATACCATGGAGATAAAAGTTTTTCTTCTTTACAATGTTGTGAATCTTTCAATAACATTTTTTTATATATATATATAACAATAATTCCTATAAGGCATGAGGGATTTTTTTTTTTTTTTGGAAAGGTGAATGAAGTAGTAAGTACACACTTGTTTAAAAATAACAATACTGAAGATAAAAAATATAGCAATCAATATAACGGTAATAATAACATATTAAAATAATGTAGACTTGAAAATAATCCCTACAGCATAGAAGAAGAGAATCTAAATAACTGTCTTTACATTTTGAAGTTTAAAAAGAATATGTTCAGAACATGAAAAAAGTATATGTTAGAAATACTACTAAAAGTTTCAACTCTATAAAAATGGAAGTTTTCTTCAGGGGAAAATATAAGTCAACTTCATCTTTGTGTTGAAAGATATGACAAAATTTTCTTTCTTGTTTGAGATGAGCAAAAAAAATGGTGAAATGCAAAAGGAGAAGATGGAATGAAAAAAATGCGAGAGAGAGAAAGTCACAGAGTGAGAGAGAGAGAAATTGTGAAAAAAGGAACACTAAGTTATCTCTAAAATATATACAACAGCTTGGAATTAAAAACCAG